CAAATTAACATTTATTAGGTATTTAGTATGTACTAAAGCATTGTGATGAGCATGATTTTTGTGCACCATCTCATCTGAATTCGAGGCGAGTGCCTGTAATTGGCCCTTGGGAGGAGATTTTAAAAAGGCCATGGCTTGAGTTTTTGGAAACTCATCGTCTGGTACCTCCCTTCAAGTTAATGAGCAAAATAAAGCAAGGCTGTCAAACTCCCCTCGGGTTTTGAGAGCTTCAGGCTTAAAAGAATCAAGACGAGGCAACTGTCCATGTGCGCCCATGTCACATAAGCACCAATTTTCATCCTGAATGGAAAAAGCTGCTATGTGGACCTGCCAAGCAGTTTAAGTAGTTAAGTTTATAATTACCTCCTACCCCCTTTAGAACATACATTTGATTAGAAAACAAGGAAAGAAAAATTACTTAGCTAATTTTCACATAAGGGTGGAATTGCTTTTGTTTTTGTTTTCCAAGTGGGGGGGGGAGTTTAATAACTGAAGCTGATGTTTAACTGGGGAAGCTAAAAAAACTGACCTGGGGAAGAGAGAAAAGTTTTCCTGGAATTGAGAGTTTAAAATTATGTCTATATTTGTCATAAGCATGATGGAATCAGTTCTGGATGGTTCAATTCCAACAATAAATTAAAGAGGAATCATGGGGAAAATGTAACAAACTGCACAAATGAGTAAGAATCAATAGTACATACTTCAGGTAAAAAAGAGGACAAGTCTTTTCAACCACATGTTTTCAAGAGAAGTTACATCATCAGAGTCATCCAAAAAGAATAAATTAATTGAATCATTAAAAATGTATTGCATACCTATTATATACCAGAGTCTTAGAATCTGCTGAAACTAGGGACTTTTCTCTTCCCTGGCTAGGTAATGAGATTAAAGTTTCAGGATGCTGAAAACAGAAAGAAACCAGAGGATTGGTACTGTTCCTTAACTTTCTTTCAAAGACAAGTTAGAGAACATTCAGATATTACTCATTGACAGCTTTAAGCCGAAGGTGGGATTTCTCTGAATGTACAGACAGTACTGGACTACAAAAACATCTCGTTTTGGGGTGTAGACATACAAGGGTTGGTCTGCAGCTCAAATCTAAGTTTTAAGGGATGCCCAGGCAACTGTTTGAAAAAGAAATTATAGGTCTTTGGTGAAATCCAGTCATAACCTCCCTGCTTGTCTCATTCAGGACAGTAAGGGGAAAAGTCTTTTATTTTTACTCTGTAAACAAGTAAACATGAGTTCTAAACCAAAAGGAGCTCGTAGCAGGTTGAATTGTGGTCCCTCAGACAGATGTCTGTGTCCTCACCCCCAGAAACTGTGAATATGAGCTTATTTGGAAAAAGGATGTTTGCAGGTATAATTAAGTTAAAGACCTCGAGATGAGATCATCCTGGATTTAGGGTGGGCCCTAAATTCAGTGACAGGTGAGAGGCTGAGCATGCAAACAAACAGTGACTAGGCCATATATAAAAACAGGACTCTGAGCCACAGCCTGCAGCAACCAACCCAGGAAACCATCCATCATCTACAGTAACCAGCTAGCCTGCCATCTGAAGTCAGACCACTATCTCTAATAACAATTCAGGAGCCAAACACTAACTAACCCCTGTAACAAATGGCCCCAAAATGGCCAGTGCTTGATTAATAAATAACAGCTTCCCTAGTTTTTGTCCCTACTTCCAACTTAGGACCAACCAGAGAAAGCCAAATATGCACCCCTAACCAATCACACAGGATGCGCAACTCCTAGTGAGCCCACCTACAGCTTCCCCAGGCCAACAGCCTGCAATCAGGGCATACTTGAAGATTTCCCTTTTTTCCACTCTAAGCTTTCCCACCCCTCTGCCTGCCTTTGAGTCTCTGCCAAAACACAAGTAATGCGGCTGACTCCCTTATTCCAGCAAGCTCTGAATAAATAGCCTTTGCTTACTCTATGATTGGCCTTTTCTTTACTTCCACTCAGGTGTCTTTATGTGAGAAAGGTACAGGGAGATTTGAGACTCAGACACACAGGAAAGTAGACCATGTGAGGACACAGGCATAGAGCCCCAAGTCATGCACCCCAACGCAAGGAACACGTGGAGCCAACAGAAGCTGGAAGAGGCAAGGAAAGCTTTGAAGGGAGCACAGTCCTGACACGCCTTGATTTAAGACTTCTGCCTCCATAACTATAACACAACACATTTTTGTTGTTTTAAGCCATCCAGTTTGTGGTCATTTGTTATGGAAAACTTAGGAAACTAACATAATCTTTTAACAAGGAAATTTGCATGTTACATGTCCTTTTCTGGAAGGACTCATAAACCCTAGTGTGAATGGTTTAAAGACAAGTGTTCCCAATTTTATTCTAATTGTTCTCATGATAAGAATTTACATGGTGATTAAGAATGCCTGGGGATTTTCCCAAAGGTTCCCCTCAACAGCCAGGCACTCTCCCTGCCCCCAAAATGCTCTAAGTCTCTATGGGGGAAATAGATGCAAAGTCAAATAATGAAAATGTAGAGGAACAGTAGGTGTTCTCTTAGTCTACTTACACTTAACCTCTAACCAATTGACTCATTTTGTTTCCTTTTAAATCATACGCTGCCAATTCCCACATCACGCTGAATGCGCATGCTGAATGCTAAAGGGTTACAAAGCTAGTCTCCAGTGAGTCTGCCCACTTCTGCTCCTACCAGTGGAACTGTACAGCTGACAGTGTCACTTGTGTTTGTTCCTGAACCTGTTTATGCCAGTTGTACTTGTCACTGTGCTTTCATAATTTAATTAAATATTATGTAAACCAATGAAATAGTGTGGAAATAAAGTTTGTTGTTTCTTTAAAAGCTATGTTTAATATTTTGGAAAGACCCAATTAAGGTGAGTTGTTTGAATGTGTGAGATAACTATAAATGATTATAAAGAAGAAATCTGCACTCAGCTTCGCAAGTGCCTCTAGGTTATTTTCCTCTTAAGGGAACCGAATCTTGGGAAAGCTTAGCTGATGGTTGAGAAGTGTCGTTTATAGAAGAGATATGATGCAGAACTCTAATCAGGAGGCCATGTACAAAGAAAAGGCCTTGGACCTTCTCAACAGATTGGCAAACAAGCATATAGTTGTTTTAGGTTAAAAAACGTTTAAGGTATTATGGTATACTTTTTCATAACTCTCTGGTTTAACTGACTTTCCTTTGAAACAGTTTTATTTAGATATAATTTATATACTACCATGTTCATCTTTATGAGGTATACAATTTAATGTTTAATTGACTTTTTCAATGTACTGCTTGGTTATGGATACAGATTGCATCTATGAGAGAGCTTCTCCTATACAAACAAAATGCTAAAAGAAGCAGTTAATTCTGCTTAGCAAGGGGATGGGGATTCAAGGTGATGTTTGAGCTTGAAGGGGCTTGAACAAGTAACAGCTAAAAAAAGCATATGAAGAGAAGAGTGTTCTAAGCAGAAGGGATAGCTTATGCTAAGGATGAAATCACATGGTGTTCCAAGGAACGGCCTTTAGTTTGAGTGGCTTGGGAATAGGGAAGTTGTTTTTTCAAATCTAATTATGCATCTGAATCATCTGTAGAGATTAAAACAAAACAAAAAGCAAAGCAAAACAGGCCGAGACTTGACTCCCCGAGTGAGGTGTGACTCCCCAGAGTTTCTGATTCAAATGTATATCTGGAGGTGGTGGAGGGGGAAGCTCCCTGGATTTATATTTTTTTAAAGTTCTACTTGTCGTTCTGAGGTGTAGCCAGGATTGAGAGCCACTGGAGTGGGGGGAATGGGGATGAGGTAAGAGAGTGCTAGGAGATGAGGCCACAGCCCAGTACCAGATGATGAAAGGAAATGGTATATAAATACAATATAACAGCAAACTTTCTCTTCCCTGACAGCTTCCCTATTCTGAAATATTTCTTTTTTTACCTTTTTTACTGTTACCGTTGCATGACAGAAAATGAATTCCCACCATTGTCTATAAAAACAGAGATAAATGTTTTCGCCCAGCTTTGTAACTAAAGACCTCTATTTTGCTTTCAGTAATATTGAACATAAAGCAAGCTCAGAGCAGAGTGCATCAGGTGCACCACACAGCACTCAGTGCTCTTAATAAATGTCCAGCAAAAATGATGAAAGTACAATTTTTGACAGAAACATCTGCCAGACACTGAACAGTGGGTTCCTATTCTGGGCTGGTGATGCCATAGAATAGCAGCACCTGCCCACTTCAGGTGCTCTTCTAAACTCCCAGATGGCTGAGATTCTTTCTCTCAGGGACAGGTTCTTCAGCACTTATCGTCTGAGCGACTGTCAGAAGAAACGGACCCCCTCCTTCTGTCATAACCAGTTCCACAGGAAGCATCCTTTCTCCTACTCTTTGAAGGTTGGAGATATTTCCCCTTGGCCAGAGCGTCTGCCTTCCATATAGGTAGGAGCTGTTCAATATTTTTAAATAAATGAATGTTATGCTCTTTCAGGGCAGAGAAAGGATGCTAATTTACATCTTTATCACAACTCTAAGGGTCAGTGCCTTCTAATTTTCTACTCCTGGCGCGTAGTTTTCAAAGGGCACCTAGGACCTCCGTTTATCCACACACGTACAGGAGCTGTAAAGTTTAGTCAGCAAGTTAGGCAGGATCAGCAAAAAGGCAAAGGAGGGGTTCAGCCAACTCGTTTCTGGAAACAACTAAAGCAAAACCGCTAAAAAAATTTAAAAAGTCTACCTCAGGAGGCACGTTACTTGAACTTGGATGAGACAGAGTGCCAAGTGCTAACGCGAGGAGGTTCTCAGGCCTGGGCTCTGGGGAGGAAACCGAGTGTCCCGACTGCGCTGCCGGGCCGGCGACTCGTTGAGGCACGACTGGGAGCGCGGAGGCCGGGAAAGGGCTTCATCGCTCCCGGGCAGGGGGAGGAGGTCATCGACCCGAGGCCGCTCGGCCGCGCGCCCAGTCAGGAGGCCCGCCCCGTTCCCTCGCGCCCCGCCCACCCCGCCCAGCCACCGGCCCGCGGACCCGCCTGGCTCCGGTCACTCGGTCGGTCGGCTGCTCCGGTTCCCGTTCCTCCTCCTGGCGCCGGGCGGCTGGTGCTGGCTGGCGCCCTCCTGACCCGGAACTGCTGACGGTTCCCCGCGGTCTGGCGCGTCCGACCCGAGGGTCGCTCCAGCTTCCCCGCACCCAGCCCCCCGGCCCGGCCTCCGCGGCTGTCAGGGGGCTGCCGGGCGGGGGCTCCGTCAGTCCGCGGTCAGGCGGGTGAGGTGGGACGGCCGCCGCCCGCCCAGCGCCCGGGCACACGCTTGCGGCCCCCCGGTCTCGTTCAGGCGGAGGACTGGGGGCGGCAGACGCCTCAGAGCTCGCCGCCCACCGAGTGTGCAGCGGAAGGCGACGCGCGACGGGCGAGGACGGAGAACGGCCTCGGGTGTGCGTCCGGCCGTCGGAAAATCTCGAAGGGGCGGGAGGAGTCAGGCAGGTGAGGATCGGCGCCCCACAGGGCCGAGCGCGGACCGGGCGGGTGGCAGAGGCGTCGTGGGGCTTTTCACGGTCCAGAGCGAGGGGGTTAGGAGTGGCGGCAGGAGAAAAGCAATCCGGAGCACAGGGGGTCACCGAAGAGGTCACCAAAGAGAGACCGGCAGCCTGGGGAGGGGGAGGGCAGGGGCTGGGGGGAGAAGATCTGTGCGCGGGGAGTGAAGAGGAGAGCAGGTGGGACGCACACCTGATCCAAATTGCCGTTGCTTATGAGATAATTGCCATACCTGAGTCCTGCATGAATCCTGGAGTCTGCTTTTATCTCCTTAAAAACGCATTTTAAAAAAATGAAGTATAGTTGATTTACAATATTAGTTTCAGGTGTACAACATAGTGAGTCAATATTTTTATAGATTTTATGCCATTTAAAGTTATTATCAAATATTGGCTATATTCTCTGTGCTGTACAATATATCCTTGTAGCTTATTTATTTTATACATAGTAGTTTGTACCTCTTAATCTCCGACCCCTATCTTGCCCCTCCCTCCTTCCCTCTCCCCGCTGGTAACCACTAGTTTGTCCTCTGTATCTGTGAGTCTGCTTCTGAAAAACAACAATAACAAAATGCAATTTTTCTGAAGGAAAAAAAAAGCAATTAAGAATTAAAAAAATTTTAATTTTTAGGTGCAGCTCCTTTTAACCTATTGAACTCGAGACCCAGGTATTTCATATGAAGGGATGTAAATTAGCAAACCAGTGATATCCGGATTAATGATATATCAATAAGTTGACACCCTGTAATTAAAATACAGGACTTTGTCTAAGTCAACAAGTAATTCCCTGCTTAAAATTTGCTACCTGCACCATCGTAAAGCAATTATACTCCAATAAAGATATTTTTAAAAAATTGCTACCTGAAAACAAAACAAAACAAAAACTGTTGTTCTGCTGGAAAGATGTAAAGTACTTTCACAAAATGAATTAAGAGATGGCTTTGCTTTTCATTGTCCTGGTTCTGACAAATAGTGCACTAGCTTTTCTGGGAGGAGTCTAGATTCACTATTTTGGTTACATTTTTAAGTCAATGCAATTCTTTTTACCCATCCACAAGTTTCTGTTGTAACTATAAGGAGATTGATATAACTTTGTATTCTTACTTAGGCTAATTTTTCTTTACAGGTGATTTTGGGGGGGCACAAAAACCTTCTTTGAAGAACTTTGTACAGTGTTGAAGGATGGCAGAAGCAGTGTTGATAGATCTCTTTGGTTTGAAATTAAACTCTCAGAAAAACTGTCATCAGACATTACTAATGACATTGAATGCTGTCCGAAACCACCATGGTGCCAAGGCCAAGTTCCTTTGCATAATGTGTTGCAGTGACATCAGCTGTGACCATGATAATTGTGAATTAGAAACAAGCAATGGATTATCTGCTTTCCTGAGAGAATTTGAGACTGTTAGCAATCCCAGCATGGCTGCCTCATTGTATACCATTAAACAAAAAATTGATGAAAAAAATTTGAGCAGCATTAAGGTGATTGTGCCTGTGCACCGGAAGACATTAATGAAGGCTTTTATTGGTCAACTCTTCACTGATGTTTACAATTTTGAGTTTGAAGATTTACAGATGACTTTGAGGGGAGGTCTTTTGAAACAGCCTACTGAAATAAACATAATCACAGCTCAAGAACTAGAGGCAATCCAGAATGAAATAGAAACATATTTGAGAAGTTTGCCAACACTGAAAGGAGAATTAACCATTATCACATCTCCTTTGATCCCAGGTACGTTAAACACTATCTGTTGATTTTACTGGATGTGAAAAACCAGTCTTTCTTTACAGGTTGTTCACCTCTTTTTGCTTCTTTCTTTTGTAGACTGTTGTGAATTTATGTGTTCATTAGCATCAGTTACAACATGGGAGTGTCATGCATTGCCTTGTAGTGTCAGGGGTGTCAAGGGATAGCCACCCTAAGTAAATAATTTCTCTTTATGCAAATTCAGCTTTAAGACAAATCCCCCAGCCTTCCTTTTAAATGAGATTTATGACCGTAAGCATTTCCTACTCAGAAATTCTGAAACCTTAACTCATTGGTGCTTTCACAGAAGAATGAAGTTTACTGTGAGCTATATGCTATTGGGATAACAAAGACAAATGGGACAAAAGATACCCTTTGAAGAGCAATAATCCCACAGAAAAGGTAAAACAAACTCAAAGCATTATAAGAAGAATAGGTGGAGAATAAGAATAGGTGGAGGTATAAAGAGCTGTAGAAATTAGAAGGCAGATAAACTAATGCAGGATGAGGTGATTAGGGAAAGTCTTAATGAGAGACTGGGTTTGTAATGCTTATAGTCTTTTGTGTGTCATGTTTTTAATCTTCACTGTTTATCTTCAACAGATATTTTCATACATGGATTTACTACAAGAACAGGTGGGATATCTTACATACCAACTCTTAGCTCATTCAATCTCTTCAGTAGTTCCAAACGGAGAGATCCCAAGGCTGTTGTTCAAGAAAATCTGCGTAGGCTGGGGAATGCAGCAGGATTTAACGTGAAGAAATTTTACCGAATAAAGGTACAATTTTGTTTCCTATTTTGGAAGATGTAAAGTATATTCTTATTTATTTATTTATTGCTGTGTTGGGTCTTCGTTGCTGCACGCGGGCTTTCTCTAGTTGCGACGAGCAAGGGCTACTCTTCCTTGCGGTGCGTGGGCTTCTCATTGTGGTGGCTTCTCTTGTTGTGGAGCACAGGCTGTAGGCGTGCAGGCTTCTATAGTTGTGGTGCGCAGGCTCAGTAGTTGTGGCTTGCAGGCTCTAGAACGCAGGCTCAGTAGTTGTGGCGCATGGGCTTAGTTGCTCCGTGGCGTGTGGGATCTTCCCGGACCAGGGATCGAACCCGTGTCTTCTGCATTGGCAAGTGGATTCCTAACCGCGGCGCCACCGGGGAAGTCCCTAAAGTATATTCTTGACTCTGCTAATGACTACGTGGACTTTAAATAAGTTATTTAACTTTTGCATCTAGTGTTTTATCTAAGATTTAGGATAATGTTTGTGATTATTTTTCTTAGAGCTGTATACCATAACCTAAAGATCAATTCTATGACGATGTATATATATATTTCATCTGGAGCTCCTCACATCTAAAAGTACAGTGAATTCTCAGAGTATAGTACCACTGCCCTTTTTGATTTAGAAGGAAGGTTCCTGCTTGGTGGGAGAGAAAAGCCATTATTAATCAACACTAGGAGGAACTCGGGTACAACTGATGAGATAATTGTTTCTTACAGAATTCTAGCGTTACTTGACTCCAGGAAAAGTAAAAATATCATTGATTTGGAAATTTAATTTCTTTCAGTAAATTAGTACTTTGTGGAAAGTACTGCAATTAGAGATTTACCCATCTCTAGTGGGAGGTATTCATGATGGATGGACTATTTTGAATTTTTTAAAATGTTTGTTAAATGTAAAAGTCTGCTTTCCTTTGAGGAAAATATGCAGAGATTATCATATCATAAAGTTAAATAAGTAAGTTTGTTATTTTATCATATATGGACCTGATATATTTAATGAATGCTTGTAACCTTAAACTGGTTATATAATTTTGTACAAGATGCATACTTTAAGAAAAGCTTATGGTATGAGAAACTCTATCTTCAAAACATTTTTTTCTCACATCTTTGGTATTAGACTGATCATGCCAATGATGTCTGGATTATGGGAAGGAAGGAGCCTGAATCTTACGATGGAATCACCACAAATCAAAGAGGAGTCACAATAGCGGCTCTTGGTGCTGACTGTATACCGATAGTTTTTGCCGATCCTGTCAGAAAAGCATGTGGGGTTGCTCACTCTGGTAAGTGTACTTAATTAAACATCTAGGATTTTACCAATTTTTTTGGTACAGGAAAAGTTATAATTTCTTTCTGATGGATATTACAAATAGTTAATTACTACCCATGGTGATAAGTGTAAACATAGGGAAGAGCTAGCAGACTCTTAGGACAGGAGCAGATAAAAGGAGTCCCTAAGTCAAATTATATGAATCAGAGTATAATTCCCAAAGAAAGCAGTACTTAGGCTGATTTCTGGGAGATTTATAGGATTTGGTTAGCTGCCAGTGTTTCTCAGCAGGGGTGCTATTAATATTTGGGGCAAGATAGTCTTACACTAACTGCAGACCAAGTTTACTTGGCTTTTTGAAATTCTTCATGCCAGTAGCACTCAGAGTTGTAAGAACCAAAAAAAAAAAAAAAAAAAAAGCCTCCATGCTTTTCAGAACACTCCCAGGGAGTTGTACTGCCTCTAGTTCAGAACCCTTGAAGTCCAGGTAATAGAGAATAGGAAGTTGAGACATGTTGGGTCACAGAAGGTGTTTATGAAAATGCAGCAGCATGTGTAAAGGTGTGGAGGTAAGAAAAAGCAAGATATGTTTGGAAAACCGCATTTAGTTTAATATGCTGTAGTCTAGTGGCTTTAACTATTCTCTAAAGATAAGAACAAAGAATTTTTAGGTTCTGTGTTGTGTTAATGGAATTTTGTTTTCTGGTGATTTTTTTAAAAAATACTGTTTAGACTATCCAGTGGTTATGAGTCTATGTAAAATGAAGAATGATCTTTTAGATTTTCTTCTGCTTGTAAATCAACGATTACTTTGCATTTTAGACTATAGATAAATAAGAAAGTGGTGCATTTTTCTTTTGATCTAGCTAAAGTAATGAATGACTAGAAGTCAGTGACATTGTCAAAAGTTACTTAAAATTTGAGTTTTAGTTCCTGGATATAAAACGGGAATATTATTTGCTACTTCCTGGGTTTTGAAACATTAAATTCAAAAATATCAAAGATAAAAGAAACAGTCTTGAAAAGGAACAAAGTTAGATGTCTCACACATCTCGATTTCAAAACTTGTTATAAAGCTACAGTAATCAAAACAGTATGTATGGTGCTAGTATAAAGACAGACGTATAGAGCAATGGAATAGAATAGACATCCCAGAAATAAACCCTTGTATATATGGTCAAATGATTTTTCACAAGGTACCTAGACTATACAATGGGGAAAGGACAGTTTCTTTAACAAATGGTACTGGGAAAACTGGATAGTCATATGCAAAAAAATAATGTTAGACCCTTATCTTATGTCATATATAAAAATTAACTCAAAATGGATCAAAGATCTAAATGTAAGAGCTAAAACTCTAAAACTCATAGAAGAAAGTGTAATCGTAAATCCTTGTGATCTTGGATTAAGCAATGGTTTCTTAGATATGATGCCAAAAGCACAAGCAACAGAAGTAAAAATAGATAAATTGGATTTTGTCAAAACTTCTGTGCATCAAAGGACACAGTAAAACAAAGTGAAAAGTCAACCCAACCGATTGAGAGTAAATATTTGCAATTCATATATCTACTAAGGAGTTAATATTCAGAATATATAAAGAACACCTACAGTTCAACAACAACAACAAAAACCAACTTGATTGAAAAATGGGTAAAGGACTCCAATAGAACATTGAAAAATGGGTAAAGGACTTCAATAGAACATTCTCCAAAGATGATATGCAAATGTCCAACAAGCATGTGAAAAGATGCCCAACATCACTAATAATTTGGGAAAAGCAAATCAAAACCACAGGATATCACCTCACACCCATTAGGATGGATAATATTATAAAAAAAAAGTGTTGGTGAAGAGAAATGGAAACCATAATGCACTATTGGTGGGAGTATAAAATGGTGCAGCTCCTATAGAAAACAGTATTATGGTTCCTCAAAAATTTGTAAATAGAATTATCATATTACCCAGCAATTCCACTTCTGAATATATATCCAAAAGAATTGAAAGCAGGATGTTGGCAGGATATTTGCACACCCATCCTCATAGCAGAATTATTCACAATAGCTAAGAGGTGAAAGTAACCCAAGTGTCTATCCACGATTGAATGGATAAGCAAAATTCATACAATGGAATATTATCCAGCCTTAAAAAGGAAGGAAATCCTGACCCATGCTACAACATTGAATGAATCTTGAGGATATTATGCTAAGTGAAATAAGCCAGTCACAAAAAGACAAATACTATATGATTCCACTTATAGGAGGTACCTAGCGTAGTCAAATTCATAGGAACAGAAAGAAGACGGGTGGTTGCCAGAGACTGGGGAAGGTGGAAAGGCCAAGTTCTTGTTTAATGGGCATAGAGTTTTAGTTTGCAAAATGAGAAAGTTCTGGAGATTGGTTGCACAACAATGTGAATAGACTTAACGTTACTGAAGAGTACACTTGTAAACAGTTAAAATGGTAAATTTTATGTTATGTGTTTTTTCCCACGATTTTTAAAAGTGTGCATAAAAAGTGAAGGAGAGAAGACTAAGAAGATATAATTCCAGTGGAAACTGAAAGTATAGAACATTTTAAAAAGGAAGTGGAAGGGACCTCCCATTAAATGTCTCTTCTGTGTCAGGTGCTTTGTATAATATACCTCATTTAAAACCCAGTATTTTAATTAATTAGTTGATTATTTGGCTTAATTAATTTTGTGATTCATTTACTATTTCTGGACTTCGAAAATACATAAACTGACTCTGTTCATTTTTAACTTAGATATAAATTATGATGAAATTTTCTTATGTTTTAACTTTGCTTATCTCTTTTTCTTCTTATTTACTAGGTTGGAGAGGTACTTTATTAGGTGTTGCTATGGCTACAGTGAATGCTATGATAGCAGAATACGGCTGTAGTTTGGAAGACATTATTGTTGTACTGGGGCCTTCAGTAGGACCTTGCTGTTTTACTCTTCCAAGGGAATCAGCAAAGGCATTTCATAATCTTGATCCCGGATGTGTACGGCTCTTTGGCTCACCAAATCCCTATGTTGACATCCGTAAAGCCACGAGGTATGCTTGATTTCAGTCCAGAACTGCAAGTTTGATGATTGCTTATTGCTTCTAAAATGAAGATAATTTTAGAAAACAATTAGTAACTCCAAGAAAAATTCAGGTGGCAGGTATTTAAGTAGCTGACATATACACTTACACAAAAACAATTTTAAATATGAAATCTTTTCTCATTTAAATTTGAATAACAGCAGTCTTTTGATCTGGTATCTCTTATTGATTTAAAAGTGAAGGAAGAAACAGCTGGCATTTAATTTTAAGAGATCTACTTAAACTTCATATAGAAAAGTTGGCACTTTTTATAGAAAAGAATGGCACTTCACAGACATTCCTCAGCTAAATTCTCCTAAATATAATAAACTATCAGGAGACTGATATTTTAAAATTATTCTTATTCTCTAATTAACTGGAGGAATATATTTTTCAGCAAAAATACTAGATAATATAAACACATAGATACTTTCAAGTTTTTTATGGTCCCTTGCATTTTTGAATTTATGAAATTTTGCTATTAATAGATAATAAAAATTATTTGTCATTTCTACAAAGGAAAATTGATGTCTGATTTGAATCGTGTTTCTTTTCCAGTCAGCAAAACCTTACCCAGATTCTGCCTCATTTAGTACATAAGTAGAAAGGATTGAAATTGATTCTTAAATGTGACCTGTGAAATAAGTGTCACTAATTTATAGTCATATTTCATACCATGAAGTGTTTAAGGAGAAGCAAGTTTTCTGTGAAAAATCTGGTTAATAGAAGGAAAGGAGGCGGGAGAGCCAGATGACTACAAAGCACGCTCTGTCTGAATCAATTGAATCTTGTCTTCAAGATTCTTCTTAAATTAGTACTTGATTTTGCTTATAAAAGTTTCTTCTTAAATAATTACTTGATTTTGCTTATAGAATCCTATACCCAGATCATGTCTGCAGGACAATATGGAGGTTATACAGTTCACATATGAACTTAGATGATTAATGGTGGTGAAATCTACCATTTCCTGACTTGTCCTTGTTCTGTAACTGAATAACAATTTGCATTGTTCCAAGCAGATCTTTCCCAGAATTCTTTTACACCAATATCCATACTTTTTCCATATTGCTTTGGCTGTTGGTAAAGTAAACTTTCTGTCTTTTGAAAAATCTTTATCCTAAGGATTCTTCTAGAACAGGGAGGAATTCTACCACAGAATATTCAGGACCAGAACCAAGATCTCAACCTCTGTACCTCCTGTCATCCTGACAAGTTTTTCTCCCATGTCCGAGATGGCCTTAACTTTGGTACACAGATTGGCTTCATATCAATTAGAGAATGAGGTATAGTAGCTTCTCTCTCCCTGCTCCCTCTCCCTTCTCCTCCCTCTTTCCACCTTTCCCTCCCCTCATTTTAAAAAATAATTAATTATATTTAACTTTACTTATTTATTCCTATAGGAAGAATTAATTCTCTACTTTTTAGTGAAGCAATAGTAGTAGAACAGTTAATTTTCTGTGACATACTCTAATATAAAGAGCAGCTACTTCTTTTCCTAGTTAATGAAGAATATATTATAAGTATATATAAAAGTATAAAAATAAAATAATTTTTTCATTAAAAAATCATGTTATGTATGCCATTTAACTCTCCTATGTACTTGACATCTGTATATTTTCTTTTTTTTGACATCTGTATATTTTCTATCATAACATCTTTATATCTTTCTTTTTTAAATTCTTTTAATTTTTGAGAAGAAATCTTTACATAAAAATTCGAAATTCTATAATGATAATACATACACAGACCAGCCTGGTTTTACAACCAAATTTCCAGCTGATTATCTATAGTAGGAGTTGGTCAGTTTTCTTTAAAGGGCTAGATAGTACATATTTTAGGCTTTGTGCAACATGTAGTCTCTGCTCAGCTATTCAACTCTGCTTTTGTAGAGCAAAAGCAGACAGGAGCAGGAATGAATGAGTATGTCCAGCTTCAGTAAAACTTTATTTACAAGATAAAGATTTGGTCCACAGGGTATAGTTTGCTGACACTTGAGCTACAATCATAGAGCAAGATTTAGCGTAATTTCATTAAATTAGTATTTCTTAGAGATGGATTTTTTTTTTTAGTTATACAAAAAATATTTTGTGACAGTGATTTGGCACTGACCCTTTAGCATATACCTGATTTTCTTTAAGGTTACTTTTAATTGAATTAATACTGTTTTTAGGCTTTACAATGTCTTTAACTCTTTAATATACAAAAGGCATTGATAGATTTAGTGATTCTTACATTGATATTTTAATAGCACTACTAATGGCCTCCTCATATTTGATTTCTATGTATTTTTACAGATACTTGACTGGATTTTTGCATAACTATTTCCTGCTTCCTTCCAAACCAACTGTAAGAGAGAAATTTAGCTGTTTGATATACTTAAAACCAAAAGGATTATAATGAATAATTCATCTTTCAGATATATTTTCATTATTATCCAAAGCCACATGATTTCATTGATTCTAACAATAACTGACACAAAATTAATATGACGTATTGGGTTGGCCAAAAGATTTGCTCAGTTAATGAATACGTTGTTCAATAATGTTCTTGGTGAAAATGAAAAATGTGTCTTTTATTTTTACTTAAACCCAAATGAACTTTTTGGCCAACCCAATAGTTTATATGTTACACAGATAAGGATTATTCTTAAAGTTTGTACTCTGTATTTGTTATGTAAATCAGGAGTAGATCTATTCAGTTTAGTATTTATTGGGTAGCCTCTATTTGTCAAGTGTTGTGTGAATCATAGGTGAAATCAAGATGAGTAATACTTTTTCCCTTTGAGCCTAATGCAGTGGAAGAGATAAACACTTCTAACATTTTAATTTTAATAGCCAAAGAGTACAGGAGAAGAGAGGATTAATTCTATGTGAAAGGCAGACTAGAGAAGGTATTACAGAGAAAATGACTTACCACATGCACCCGAAAGATGATGTATAGGCTTTTGACAAATAAAGAACAACCATAACAGGTAGAGGGAATACCATAAACTAGGGCATGAAGCTGTACGTGTATAACATGTTCTGCAAAGAGAAAGGTGTGGGCAGGAGTTACTGGAAAAACAGGTTAGAAACAGATTAGTTCAGGTTTTGAATGCTGTGTCAGAGAGTTTGGAGTTTATTTTCCAGGCAAAGAGTAGGCATAGAAAGTAGGAGAGTGTTTTTATGTCCTTGGCATTATATTTAACAGGATGGATTTAACTTGTGAGAGACTAAAGCAGAGAGATTAGTTAAGAGGCAGTCACGATACTTTTAAAAAGAAATAATGAAACCTGAATGCAGTGGAAATTAAAACAGAGGCAAGAGTAGATGAATTAGCGAGACATTTCAGAGATGGAATCTGCAGATCCTGTTCCTAGATCATGGAGGTAAGAGATGAGGAAGAGTGGAGAAGTCCCTGATGCCTCCACAGTCTCTGCTTGGCTGACTACCTAGAGTGGCAGCAAAGATGGGGAGGAGGTTTGGGGCAAGGGAGAGGGATAATGAGATTGACACACAGACTGAAGTACATCCAGATGGAAATTATGTGGTCAACAATTAGAAACAGAGACCAGGAACCTGGGAGGGAGTTGCGAAAAAGACAGCAATTTGGGAGTTGGCTATGCAGAGGCAATGCCCGAGTCTGCTGGAATAGGCTGGATCATCTCCATAGAAACAGAGCGAGAAGAAGGGAGGTCCAAGGATGAAACGTCATGCAACACTTGCATTTGGAGAGCCAGAAGCTGAACCAGTCAAAAAGATTGATCCTAGAAGAAAAAAATGTATAGTTATTTTGGAGAAAGAAGCCAGCATAGATAAGAGAGGAAAAGAAATCTTCAGGGAGTTCCCTGGTGGCCTAGTGGTTAGGATTTGGTGCTTTCACTATGGAAGCCCAGATTTGATCCCTGGTCAGCATCCTGCATGCCGTTCAGCGTGGCCAAAATACAAAAATAAATAAGTAAGTAAGTTAAAAAAAAAAAAAAAGAAATCTTCAGAGAGAAAATAAGAAACCAATGGATTAACCATGTTGAAGCTGTTCTATAGGTCATGGTGGAGGAGTCAGATTTCAGTTCCTTGAGGACGAGGATGCACCAGTGTCAACCCTTCTTCGCAAGTATTTATTGGAGAAAATAAAGCACCGAGGGCTGTATTTTGAAGCATGGTGTGTGTGTGTGTGTGTGTGTGTGTGTGTGTGTGTGTGTGTGTATTGGGGAGGGGGGATGAGTAGTCGTAAGTGTATTTGTAGGCTGAAGAGAGGAGTTAGGCTGTTTTCACTTGGGAAAAATGGTATGTATGGTACATACTTTTTTAATGTGAATTGTCACATTGTACCTTAAAAAGATTTCTTATTTCATACATGTATTTCTTACCTGAATATGCAGAAAATTACATTTGTTTGGTACTTATAAAGGACTTTCAAGTCCATTACCTCATTTTACCTTTACAGGTACCCTGAAGTACATGTCAGGTGCTATTCCTTTTATTCAGATGAGAAAACTGAGCCTCGTTCAGGTAGAGGCTAAAATCACATAATTTGTGATAAAGTAAGATTTGAACCCACATCTTGTGACTCCAAATATCATTTCAGATTTTACAGTTAATCAGAGCTATCTAAATTAAATTTTTGCAACTTTTTGTTAATATTCATCCACTCAGTCAAAATTTTGTTGAGCTGCTAGGGTAGGTTAAAAATTATAGTATGGCCCTCAAGATATTTAATATCCAGTGAAAGTGACATTCAATAAAGCAACAATTTTAATACTGTGATATGTGTTGTAAGGTTGTTTAATTCTTTTATGTAACTCATAGCTCAGTGTGAAATTTATATATAATACCTCATTTCTTCCAATTTAGGGAAGGCATTAAATACAAATCATAGGACAAACTCATGCAATCAAACTCATGTAAAATACTCTTGTTTCATGATAACAATAAGATTAAGAAATAATTCCATTGAGAAAGATGGATAATTTTCCAGTTCTTCACTGTATATTATTTTGTTGAATGCAGAGTATTAGGCAGCCATGTTTTACTTTATGTATCAAAATACTCCAAAACCAAATAAAAATTATGTTTGATTATCTATGATTTTGCATTATCTGTGTCAAAGCATAGAATGAAAAGTTGTCTCCTTGCTGTTTTACTGAGTGAAAAGTATTGATTCAGTAACTCAAAAACAGAATGTTGGTTGTTAAGTAGTCATATCTTATTGCCTCTACGAGATCTCTCATTTTTAAGCATTTGTATATAGGTTTCTGGGACTTTCAGGGTGTGACTACAATGATGACTTTTAATAAGTTTTGTTCTGTTGTCAATCTAAGCACTACTACTAACTGCACATAGAAAATATAAGTTGTCGTTTTAGTAAGACGATAAATTAAGTTTGTAAATCAGAGTTCATGACATGATTTTTTAGAGGTGCTAATTAGCGAACTAAAATTTATCTAACTGTAATTTTAAATTCTGAAGAGTAGCATAGTGATTAAATATGCTCTACTCCATTGCTTTATAAAGCAAAGGAAAAAATGGTCTTTCCACTAGGAGGTAGTATTTCTACAAGTAGCTCTGCTCTGTTTCTTGGCATAAAGTTGAACCAATCTTAATCTCTGTATTTATTTGTACAAAACACATATATAGCTCTTACTTTAGATGCAACTTATTGTAGTTCAAGTAGGTAAAAACATTTAGGAATCCTCACCTACCTGGGTCTCACTTCTACAGAATCTCCAGTAACTGCTCTTCTGTAAATAGATTGGGGGGTGGGAGGGATTCAAAGAAGCTTATTCTGTGTCACGTGACAAAAACATAAATGATACCCATGGATTCAGAAGCTGGAAATAAGAGGACAGTGACATATGAACTCATTTTATATCTCAAAGTAGGTTTGATATTTGTTTTCACTCAGTTGTCCTAAAGTTGTACTTCCGATGTATCCATCCTTTTATGTGAACTCTTAGAGAGTGCCACCAATCTTAGACATGGATCTGTGTGTGTGTGCTAAATGGTAAACAAGACGTATGTGCCATGTATGGTGCATAGCCTCTTTGCCCCAGCTAATGTAAAGTCACACAAAATACATTGGATGCAGTGGAACCATAGATTTCCCTCTATAAAAATTTTGTAAATCGGGCAGTAAAGAATAGAAGCATGGTCCTTATGCTCACTGTATGTGTTTATGGGAGCTCTGGTCTAGAGCACGTCCATTTCCATTGTAGGCAGTGTTTTTAAACTTTACTTGTGATTTCAAAGATGAGGCAACTGCTGTAAGTAATGCATTGTTCTGTGTGAGGTCATTTCTTAATGAAGGAAAAAGAAATCTGCCAGTACTGCTTTTTCCGGGTTAATGCATTTGGTTTGGACTCACAATGATCACATGTCAGTTGTGTGGAGACAAACTTCTCATACTCTCCGCAGACGCATTTTCTTCGTAGAGAAAGAAATGCTTACATCACGCTCCCTATGTCTGTGCCAATTGCCTGAGGTGAGCTATGTCCTTTCTGTATCTGGAGCAGGCTTTTTCTTTTATGTAGTTCTCAAAAGACTGGGGTGTCCAGTTACTGTATCTTATTAAACAATTAAAATTTCTAGCAGATTCAGTAGCTCAAAATACCACATTCCTTTCTAACAACAACAAAAAGGGTACTCTCATTCCATGAGAAACATCTGTAGAAAATAGACCTGTTCATGGTGACAACTGAGTTTTGAATTTTTATTTTCCTTTATTTTCTTCTTATTTATTTTTGCATCATACATTGCTACAGTTTACATCTTACCAGTGCTTCCCTATTATTTCACTTTCCTTAAGTACTTGTTTTAGCCTGAATCTAATCAAGCTCTAGAGCTAATTATCAATGTGTAAGAAATATGGGGGAGGGAGGATTAAGTTAAAGGATACCACAAATTTGGGATGGTAAAAAAGTGATCCACTTTTTGAAACTGGTCAAGAATTTTAAAAAGTGTGGGAGATACAGCTGAAACCAATATGTCAACTATACTTCAATAAAATTTTTTTTAAATAAAAAAGTGGCTATGTCGTTTTACCAAAGAAAAGATAGGAGGGGGACTATTCTGGATTAAAATAAATTTATTAGACCTAACAGTCCCATGAAATGAGTGGGCCTAGTTTGGATTCAAATGAGAAGAAATAAACTATAGAACATATTTTTGAGACAATTGGGAAAAATTTGAATATGATCTAGGTATTAAATGATGCCAGGAATTATCATTAGTTTTTCTAGAGGTTAATGATGTTGAAGTTCTGTAAAAAATATCTATGTTGATCTGTATTGAACTGTGTAGGAGTAAACTGATGTGTTACATGCCAGTTGCTACCAAATGTTTCAATAATAATGATAGTAATAAGGATATGATGCAAACATGGCAAAATCTTGAATTGTTAAACCCAAGTGATGGTTATCTGGGGGTCATTGTACTGTTTTCTCTACTTTCGTGAATGTTTGAAATTTAGCCATAATTTTTAAAAATTTTTAAAAATTTAAACTTCTTGCACATTTTTGTTTAGAAAAGGTATGTACACATTTCAATTTTCTTTATTAAAGTAGAAGATGAACATTGTCAACTCATTCTTTTATATGCATGGTGTGGGGAGTGGAGAGGAGAAAGCAAACATATCTGACTGTTGGATTCTTGTTTGAATGAAGAATATGAGAATTATATGCCATTTATATTAACACAGGAGGTCTATAATTCACAAAATAGGAAACAATAAGGAGCCACACTTTTCTGCTAAATAACTATCCTAAAATAAGAAGCTTACTTTTACATTTTCTATTATATTAAGTGGAATCTGGTTGGTATGATGATTCCTTTAATGAAAAACTACATGGAACTGCCATCCTCTGGCATAAGAATAGTCTAGAATAGAATAAAAGTGTATGGCTTAATAGCAGTTTATGGTAAAAGTTAGTGTTTTTCAATGAGAATGAATGGGACTGCCAAAAAACCTCATGGGATCCCAGGTTGCCATATAGAAATATACTTCTAGAATGAGCAAAGCAATGTTTCTATTCTGTTCTAAATTGATTAGACCATACTTGGGGTATTGTAGTACATTTTGGGAAGTACCCCTTAAACAAGGTCAGAGAAAAGCAATACTAATGGTGAGCGGGCCCAAAGCCAGATTATGGGAGGGATGGGTCAAAGGGACTAGAAATGATTAGCTTGGAGAAAAGAAGTCTCAGTGGGATTTAAACAACACACCATAGATATTTGAAGTACAGAATGCTGACGGAATAGAAAAAAATAGAACAAATTAGTGGAAATTATAGGAAGACTGATTTTGGATTAGTATGAATGTTGAGAAAGGCTATCTGCCATGGGCCTTAAGTACTCCAGCAAGGCCCTGTTTGCTCTTTTTTTTCCAGGACATTTATCAGGGTTGTGTTTGCAGCAAGCAATCTTGAGGGATAGGTTAAGATACCATTTTGGAGAAAAGGCAGACTTGCTTACCACTTATTATAAAAGTGAATTCCCCAAGCTCAGTGTTCTTAACCTAGGACAAAAACCTACTGTGTGCATACAATACACCTGAGCCCCTCTTTGGTGCCCCCATGGGACTTGGAGGGAAGGGAACTAACTCAGATAAGATGTTTATCCTACTTGTTAACTATGAATAATGAAATCTTTTGTCTCTAACTCAGTCATCTCACATCTTCTGCCAATACTGATGATAGACTAATTTATTAGCCCATAAGTAGGATTAGATTGATAAATCCCAGATCCAACAAAGGAGAAGCACATTAGTTCGTGGGTTCCCTATTGAGAGGTGTTCAAAAGTGAATGGATAAACCTCTATTTAGGATACTGCATAAACATAGCAAAAACCAAAGCCCCAGACTAGTTTTCCTTAGACATTCAATGTCATGCCAATTGCATAAATTTTATTTTTCTTTTTAGGAAAGACTATATAAATTTAGACTTGTCTGTAGAATACCAGAAGAGTTACTCCAAGAGAATATTGCTATGCCCTTCCAAGTTGAACCACTAGGAAATCCCTATATAAACATGGCCTCAATACGTATTTAAATGACCCAACTTCACCCATTGTCTCTGTGTATCCCTAATCTCATATTTTTTATTTGCCTTCAGATGAAGGGAGACTCAAAATTATTATGCCAAAGATGTAATTCATCTCTGATTCCACGTCAAAGCTTTTAGCACCCTGGGGAGTCAAGACTGGAATCTCGAATCTCTGCCTTGACAGCCCTCTTTCTGCCATATGACGAGTTAAGTATCTCTGACTTGTCCTATTGGAAATTCATGAACGTAAGTTTTATTAGCGTTAATGAAACTTTAGTATCTAATGTGGTGGTAAGCACACTCAATATTTTTCTTTCATTGCTGAAAGCCTTTCATAATATTTACCAGAATACTTTGAAAAATGTGTATTAAAATCTAGTCTGGCTTTCTGAATGAGTGGTGTGATTCAGGTTTGGATCACATATGATATCACTGAACATAAAGTTTTAACACTAGCATCACAGTGATAACCTCTCACAGTCTTCCTTTGTCTTTTCCTTTGCATATGATTTGTGCATCATGTACATTCATCCACTGGGTGGCAATGTGTACTCAAGAATGTTTACTGTTTCTAGTTCCCTCAGACTAACTGAAATTAAGGCATCAAACTTTTATTTGGAAAATTGTCATTGTATCAAATCTTAAGAAACAATATTGCCTGAATTCAAGCTCCTACCTACAGAGATTTTAATAATGTTAATACTTCCTACCATTTACTCTTAACCACATTCTTCTCCCAATATGTTCACAGGCCACACATTTGCAAAATAGATGATCTCTCGTGCTCTTCTCAATCCATGCCATTTTATAATTATTCATACCTCACTCCTTAAACACACACATGCCCCTTCTATATTCCCCTAAACTATTTTCTGACCCCAACACTCTTAGTTCCCCGCCTCTCATTTCTGTGGCTCTTGCCTGACAGTGAATTTTTCCCCTTTTCCATTTTGTTTCTTAAATACCACATCTCCTTCACAGTGAAATCAAGAGACACATCATTAAGCTCCTATATAACATAGTATACATGCTCTCTGGTTCTGTACTACATCCTAGATAAGGAGAGCAGATTCAGGAGATTCATTTAGTCTTGGGAAGTCCTGTAGTTCCCTTTCACTTGACTTAATTGTCCAAAATGCAGAATAATACTAATTAACTAGCTCTGTGTAAGATTTATCTTCAAGTTAAGAGAGGGAAAAACTTCCAAATTAAATTGTATATCAAGTGTGATTACAACATGAGAAAACCCACAAAACTTTATATATTTTTTAAAAATTGAAAATAAAATAGTAGTAATAGTAGTTGCATTAGACGGTGAGATTATGAAAACTTTTGTTTCCCCTTTCTGCTTTTCTGTATTTTTCTATATTTTCTATTTTTTCTATGTATTTTAATGAACTATACTTTTTTCAAAAGAAAAACATATCTAACTGTGCCTAAACCATATTTTATCTTTCTCTTTCCTGGATTGAAAACCTCCTTTTTCTTTCACATATCCTTGGCTGTCTAATTTTCCAAAAGGTACTTAATAATATTTTGACGTTTCCTTGAATCTCCACATGGTGCTGAGTGTGATGGGAGGTTTGGCTCGTGCTTTCTTTTTTTAAAAACAATCTTTATTTTAGCATAGTTTTTAGACTTACAGAGAATTGTAAAATTGTAAAAACCCCACTTTTCCCTATTACTAACATCTTACATTAGTTTGGTACATTTGTTGCAATTAATGAACCAATATGGATACAATATTGTTAACTGAAGATCATACCTTATTCAGATTTCCTTTGTTTTCGAGTCCTTTTTTCTGTTCCAGGATCCTATCCAGGACACCACATTACATTTAGCCATCATATCTCCTTGAGCTCCTCTTGGGTGTGACAGTTTCTCAAGCTTTCCTTATTTTTTCATGGCCTCAGCAGCTTTGAGGAATACTCGTTAGGTATTTTGTAGAATGCCCCTCAACTGGGATTTCTCTGATTTGTTTCTATTGAATAGACTTGAATTATGGATATTGGGGAAGAAGACTGCAGAGGTGAAGTCATGTCAAGGGTAAGTACCAATCAGCATGACTTAGCACCATTGATCACCTTGCTGAGGTAGTGTTTGTCAGGTTTCTCCATGATAAAGTCACTCTTTCATTCCTCCTTTCCATGCTTTATATTCTTTGGTGGTGTGTACACAGCTATACTTAGTAGGGAATTATGTTCCACCTCTGTGAAGGGAGAGTATCTACATAAATAATTTGAAAATTTTCTGCACAGATTTATCTACTCTCCTCCCTTTATTATTTATTCAATAATTTATTTATATCCAAAGGAAACAAAAACACTAATTTGAAAACATACATGCACCCCAGTGTCCATAGCAGCACTATTCACAATAGCCAAGATATGGAAGCAACCTAAATGTCCATCCATGAATGGATAAAGGAGATGTGGTACATATATACAATGGAATACTTTATCCATGAATGGATAAAGGAGATGTGGTGCATATATACAATGGAATACTACTCAGCCATAAAAAGAATGAAATAATGTCATTAGCAGCAATATAGGTGGATTTAGAGATTATCATACTAAGTGAAGTAAGACAAAGACAAATATCATACGATATCAGTCATATGTGGAATCTAAAAAATAAAGTGAATGAATGAATATAACAAAAGAGACAGACTCACAGATAAAGAGAACAAATTAGTGGTTACTGGTGGGGAGGGGGAAGGGGGAGGGGCAAGATAGGGGTAGGGGATTAAGAGGTACAAACTACTATGTATAAAATAAATAAGCTACAGGATATATTGTACAACAGGGAATATAGTCAATATTTTATAATAACTTTAAATGGAGTATAATCTGTAAAAATTTTGAATCACTATGGTGTACACTTGAAACTAAAATATTGTAAATCAACTAAATATTTCAATTAAAAACAATACAAAACAAAGTCATCCCAATAAATCTTTCTGTACTTTTAGTACTGATATGTAGCTTCTCTTCTGGCCCTACTTAGAGATTCTACATACACCAACACTGAGACCCAGAGATCTGGTGACTTTCCTAGGTCACCCCGCAGTTAATACTATGGAACTGGATGCCTACTCACTTGACCTTCGACCTTCAGGTCAGAGCTCTTTTCACCATAGAGTTTTGCCTCATTTAATAATTGATTTATACATTTAGCTCATTCATTTGTTCAACAAAAAATGCCTGAGTAACTGCTTCATACCTGACACTGTGCTAGGATTTGCAGGTACCTACAAATTTGGAGAGTTTATACCACTTTAAATAGAATCTAAAGTTGGGTATACTGCCACCAGGTGGCGTAAACCCTCAGACTGGCAAGGATATTCGTAAGTAATTTGTAGGTAACCATTCAGTTTTTCCTCTTAGACATTTTTTCAAATTCAGATGGTGAGAGCTGGTCTGAATGTGTAATCCAGGTTTATCATGTTCTGCGAAGGTGCAGCCAATCTTCCAGCCTCCCAGGCAGAAATCTTTGAGTTATTTTTGTTTCATTTCATGTTTTACTTATTGAGTCCCTGCTTGTTCAAACTGGCTTCTTCCTTTACCTATAACCCCTTCATAAATATCTCCAATTTAGAAGTGTCAGGGTAAAAACACCCTGGTCTGGTCTCAGCCTCCTGCAATTTCACTACTACTTCTGAGCCTTTGCGCCTGATGTTCTCTTTCCCCGAAATTCCTCCTTTAAACTCTTTCATCACTGACTCACCCATGTTCAGCAAACATTGGAGTAGTCATTATGGTGACTGGTAATATATGAAGTCCCAAACTACATACTCTCTCCACATACTGCTGTGTTCCTCCCTACCCTTCTGAGGGTAGAGGATATCTAGTTGGTAAAATGGGTATATGAACAAATACAATGAAAGCATTTACCAGGCACAGTGGTGACAAAAGTATCAGTCTTGTAGAGATGGTCAAGAAAGAAATTGGCCCCTGGGTTAGGACTGAAGTTAACTCAAACAGTGTAAATGGATACAGAGTTAAAGATGGTTTTACATAGTGAGATGAAATGGCATGGTATTTCAAAGTCTGACAATTTTAGCATAGGTAGAAGGTACGATGTATGTAGGCAAATGCTTAAAGTTGGTATGAAAAAGAAAGGCAGGGATCAGATTATGAGGCCCTTTGAATGACACGCAAAAAAGTTAGGACTTTATGCTTTAGACATTAAGAGTCATTTTAATATTTAGAAAGGGGGATGACACAAACATTTGCATTTTAGAAAGATCATCTGCAGCTGTATTTGGCGTGGACTGGAGAGAGGTGAGACCAGATATAAGGTAACCAGTTAGGAAATGACCATAGAGCCTGGGTGGAGAAACTAAGGCCCGAGCCAAGGAAGAAGCTGTCTGAAGGAGACGCAGGGATGAATCGGAGAGATTCAACAGAATTTGATGAGGAATCAAATATGAGAGTAAGAGGAGTGCTGGGTAAGCACCGGTAACCTGATTTAGGTCACTGGGTGAGTGGTGATGTCATTAAGCAGGATAGAGGATACAGGAGGCTGAGCAGTTTTTAGGTGGTGGTGGTAATGAATGTCTCGAGTCTACTTCGGGACATATTATCTGATTATTTGCACTAATCAACTTCATACATTATTAACACACAGGTTAGAACGAAAAGTCTCCATAAAGAAACATCTCCTACCACCACACATCAATCTAATCAATATGCAGTCAAAAATATTTTAGGAGTTAAGTGAATGGGTCTTGTGGAACACATATTCCAAACTTTCCAAGACAGGTTCACTTCCTACAGTATTATTCTTTTTAATAAGCACAAGTCATTAAATATATAAATTTAAGATGATTTAATTTTTTGTCTCTTGTAAGACTTTTCTCATAAGTAAGTTCATAAATTATTAAAAGGTTTAAGGTATGAGTCCTGCTAGTTAGGAATCTGCAGACTAATCCAGACGAAGAACTCAACACCCAGTGAAGAGCCGCTTAGTGGTAAACTGTGTTGGTGTAAGGGCTCGTGGTGCATCCAGAAAGTGGCTGTCATTTTGGACAGAGAGGGCTGTGCTGAGAAGAGGCTGGAACTGCAGCAAAGCTCTGAAGAATGAACAGTGTCTGAAAGTCAGACATTGAGTGAGGAGAGCGCCTTAGGAAAGGAATCAAATTGGAAATAACCTCAATGTGTCCAAGGGAGATGGAGGACCATGGCCTATCTTGATTAGTCTTTCGACTCAGCCACAGAGAGAGGCTGCTAGGTGGTGTGACTCATATTTCTGCCTTCCTATATCCAGCTCCTCTTCACTTTGTGATCATTTTTCTAAGGTATAATGAAAATTTCTAGTTGTGTGGTTTCCAAGGTTTTTTTTTTTTATTCCCTTCCTGACTTTTTCCCATTTCCATCTCATTCTGAATTTTAGCTTTTCTTTTTAAAAATTTTTTTATTTTTATTTATTATTTTTAACATCTTTACTGCAGTATAATTGCTTTACAATGGTGTGTTTGTTTCTGCTTTATAACAAAGTGAATCAACTATACATATACACATATCCCCATATCTCCTCCCTCTTGCGTCTCCCTCCCACCTTTGCCATCCCACCCCTCTAGGTGGTCACGAAGCACCGAGCTGATCTTCCTGTGCTATGCGGCTGCTTCCCACTAGCTATTTTACATTTGGCAGTGTATATATGTCCATGCCACTTTCTCACTTCATCCCAGCTTTTCTGACCTTAGTCCTAAAAGCTTTTGCTAAGTTTTAGGATTCCCTAGTCACCTTACTTTCCATTTTGGGTAAGATTCCCATTTTCCTGTGAGGTATACATGCAGTCTTTTGAGATATTGAGATATTCTTCTAGCATATTTTCAAGAACTGTGGATAGACAAACACATGGTACTGAACAATCCATAATGGAAGGTGGATATATAATCGTGCCTCCTGCATAGTAGCCATCTGATAAATCTTTATAAATGAATGAATTTTATGTAATAACCTATTAAAAAAAGAATACATCTTTTCTATTACACATTTTTCACAAGGACTTTTTACCACCAGAGCAAGAAGTACAGTAGAGGCTCCAGGGATAAGTGGCGAGGTCACATTTCTTCTGAGATAATTCCTTTGGCTTCTCCTTTAAGTCAAGTCAAGCTCTGACTCCTGATGCTCTGAGGTGAGGTGAGGGTCAGGGACCTTGTGTGTCAACCCCCTTCTCTCCAGGGGGCCTTAGCTCAGGGATCTGTAAGAAGTGTATCAAAACATTAGTCCAAGTGTCTGACTCCACTTCAGCTATTTGTATTTGAAATTTTGTATTTGAAAACAGTTTGCTCTTTAAAGTTGGTGAACATTCCTTTTATAATTTGTTTACACTGTTTGTTGGACAAGCTACTAATATTACTGATAGAGCAAAATTAAAATTAAACTAGCCTCACTCTGATGGTTGATTATAAATCCCAAATTAGCAAAGTCCAATTAATGATGTTTTATTATCTACGTATATATGTGTATGTATACAGGGTTACATGTATATGAATTAAGAATGATAGCAATTTAGAAGTAGAGGGACACAGAGAAATGAATTCTATTTAAAGCCTACATTTTTGCAGATGAAGAGATTTGCAACTGGTAAATTGTTCTTCTTTTACCCAAGAGACTAGTTCTATATTTAAACACAATCCAGAAATAGCCTCCTTTACAGACATAACTTGCTATGACTCCATGGCTCCATTGAGCACATACATATTATGTAATGCTCTTACTTCTACTAGCTGTGTCTTATCATCTCCCATAAGTCTCCAGCCACTTTGAAGATAGAGATTTTATTTGTCTTTGCACAATCCCCACAATACCGGTCCCAGCCCATCCCCATGCCTGATACTGGATTGAGCATCAGTCAAACCAGTAGGCAGCCATGATCCTGCACTGAAATCAAGGAATCAACCATTAAGGTGATAGATCTCTTGTGAGCTTTGCAAATTTTCTTCTGCTTCAGTACATCTGACAATTTCCCCAGATAACCTTGTTTACTATTTGGAGTCCTGTGGTCTCTACTCTTCTCCTGATAGTAGGAGGCTGTGCCCTTATGCTAAGACTCTCCCATCCCGTTGTTTCCCTACTCTAATACCAACAACTGCAGTGGGCTGCACTGGGTTTGCCATTCTCTGGTTTGGATGCAATTTAGAATTGCAGCCACTCCCCAGCCCCCCTTTTGTGGTGCCCCTTGGCTCAACCTCCTCCACCCTGGCATGCTGGGTGGTAAGTAATGCAGGCAGCACGTGTAATCCCACCCTGAGATCTAAAGCTGTTGCTTGCCTGGTACTGTTACATAAAATAAATGGATATTGAATAATTCAAAAAAGTGAATTTGGACATTAATTATTCACTCAACAAATATGTGTTGAGTACCTAATATATACCATACCAGACTTTTTCCTGGGTGCTGGAGATGCAGCAGGTAACAAGATCAAATTTCTGCCCTCATGAAGGGCATTCTAGTCAAGAGGGATACAATAAACAAATAAATTAATAGATCTATAACATAAAGTCACTACTAAAGAGTAAGTGCTGTGAAAAAACAAGAAGCAGGGAAAGGGAATAGGAAATGACATCACAAATCAACATCACTAATCATCAGGGAAATACGAATCAAAACCTCAATGAGCTATCACCTCACACTGTCAAAATGGCTATTATCAAAAGGACAAGAAATAACAGGTGTTGGTGAGGATGTGGAAAAAAGGGAACCCCTGTGTATTGTTGGTGAGATTGTAAATTGGTGCAGGCACTATGGAAAACAGTGTGGAGGTTCTCAAAAAATTAAAAATAAAAATAAAAAAAGAGGCATTGCTGCTGAATGGGAAGTCATTATTATTGTGACAAATGTTTCTGAGAGGTCATAGTTCATTTATTGAGTGTCTTTCATTTGCTGGGTATTTGTTGGGCATTTAAGATTTAGAGATGGATAAGACACAGTTCCTGCCCTCAAGAAGGTCCAGGACAGAACTGTGAACAAATCAAAATGTCATGGAACGAATGCAACAAAAGCATTTACAATTCTCCAAGCTTGCTTTATTGTTCCCACTTCATACATTAGAAACCAAGACTCAGGATTAAATGATTTGTTCAGTATTATACCACAGACAAAACTGA